GGCGGTGGCTCGTGTTGCTGAGAGGCTACACCTGAGGCTGAGCCTTTATCTCCCGGCAACTCCTTATCTGCGCAGCTCATTTCCAAATCCTGGCTTCATCTCTTTGACGTAAATGTCGTTAACAGGAGACCAGGGCAATGCGCAGCACTCGGGCCTGCACCGTCCCCAGTCAGGTGGCTGCATGTTCACCCCCAGGAAAGGCCCTCACTGGTCTCCACCGCTGCAGAGAAGGCGGAGAGGACAGAGGCTTCGCTGTTTCTCGATCCTGGTCATAACCCAGTCCTGGGGAACCGGTCACAGGCGGCCATATACACCCAAGGGCTCCTCTCAGCTAAGCCCACGCAGCACCAGACCACCCTGCACCATCTGGGAGCGCCCTTCTGAAAACCGACGCAGACCCCTACCTCCCCTACCGTCACGGCCAGGGTCGGCTGCAGGGTCTCCCACGCTGGACTCAAGTTGGCTGAGGTCTGCGGGAGGGACAGGCTGAGGCTCCGGCAGGTTCTCTGGAGGGGGTTCCTTGTGGAGAGAAATGTTTGTGAGAAGCCGCTGCACAAGTGAAGCGCTGTCCCTGCTCAGGCCACTAAGGAACAGCAGCCCCTGGCCCTCCACTCGAACATGACGACATTCTCAAACCGGAGTAAGGAGATTCGGGGTAAGGGAAGGCTGGAGTCAATGGGACAGGCGACCTTGGGCGAAGCACGTAACGTGCGGGGACCACGTCGGCGAGCGGGACAGTCAGGGTGTGAAGTGGAAGGTGCCCGCGAGCCGGCCTCCGAGGCGTGTGCGGCAAGCTCTTCCTGCCATTTTGCACGCCGGAGAGCCCACATGCCTCTCCCGCCTCGGTGCAAGATGAAAGGTGTTGGCTCTAGACGACTTCCCGGTTCCTGTCTCTAAAGGTCTTCCCTCCGTCTGCCCCTCACACACCTCCGTGCCCACCCTGTGCCCCACGCCCTCCCCTCCAGCCTCTGGCATCCACGCGTGTCCTCCACTGGGCTGTGGGAATGGACGCCTCTGTCTGCACAGAAAAGCACGCCATGCGTTTCCATAGCCGGGGCTTCCCATCTCCGCCAGAGAGCACAGACACTCGGTACGCACGGAGTGGGGACCTAAGTGTGTCTGTCGGAGGCTGGCCGGCTTCACTCAACAGAGTCAAATGACAGGGACTCACTGTTCCTCACGGCTGAGTAATATTCCACAGAATACACGCGCCACAGATTTTCAACGCGGTCATCGGTTTCTGAGCACTTACACTGGTTCCGTGTTTTAGCGACTGTGAATAATGCTGCAGTAACCATGGGGATTTAAGTGTCTTTCCACCCGAGAGTTTTCCTGTCCTCTGAGTAAATACCAAGGAGCGGTCCCTGGGTCATCTGAGGAACCTCCATATTGCTTTCTACAGGGACTGTAATTCCTGGGGACTACAGGGACCTGCACTCCCACCAACAGCGTAGGAGAGTCCCCTCCACCACGGCCTGCCAGCTCTTGCTGCTCTTCATTGTCCTGACCCTTGCCCTTTAACTGGGGCTAAATGGCATCTCATTGTGGCTTCAACTTGCATTTCCCAGAGGACAAGAGATTTTGAACATTTTTTTCAGATGCCTTTTGGACATTCGTAGGTTTTTCATGGAGAGTTACTAAGTTTTCTGCTAAAAAATACATCATGATGGGGACTTTATGCAAAATGTAAAATTCGTCTGAAAATAAAATAAATTTAAAAATTAAAAAACAAGAACAAAGTTATCTGAGTCTATGAATTCTAATTACCTAAGAGAAAAAGATCTAAAAGATCACATGGTGAAAAAAACACACTTCAAAAAATGAAAAGGCAAACTTCCCAGATCAGTAAGTATTTCAATAAACCACTTAGATTCTAGTTGTCATCGGTTTCTGAGCACTTACACTGGTTCCGTGTTTTAGCGACTGTGAATAATGCTGCAGTAACCATGGGGATTTAAGTGTCTTTCCACCCGAGAGTTTTCCTGTCCTCTGAGTAAATACCAAGGAGCGGTCCCTGGGTCATCTGAGGAACCTCCATATTGCTTTCTACAGGGACTGTAATTCCTGGGGACTACAGGGACCTGCACTCCCACCAACAGCGTAGGAGAGTCCCCTCCACCACGGCCTGCCAGCTCTTGCTGCTCTTCATTGTCCTGACCCTTGCCCTTTAACTGGGGCTAAATGGCATCTCATTGTGGCTTCAACTTGCATTTCCCAGAGGACAAGAGATTTTGAACATTTTTTTCAGATGCCTTTTGGACATTCGTAGGTTTTTCATGGAGAGTTACTAAGTTTTCTGCTAAAAAATACATCATGATGGGGACTTTATGCAAAATGTAAAATTCGTCTGAAAATAAAATAAATTTAAAAATTAAAAAACAAGAACAAAGTTATCTGAGTCTATGAATTCTAATTACCTAAGAGAAAAAGATCTAAAAGATCACATGGTGAAAAAAACACACTTCAAAAAATGAAAAGGCAAACTTCCCAGATCAGTAAGTATTTCAATAAACCACTTAGATTCTAGTTGTGTGTGTGTGTGTATGTGTTTGCAACCCAGGTGACACGAAATTGACTTCTTTTTCCTGGTAAATGGCTTTCATGAGGAAATACTCCAAGAGTTCCTTCTTATTAAAAAGAAAACCGAAGGGAAGTTAAAACTAATCTTCAATGAGTAACTAGAAGGAAGCCACACCGTTCTGCAGTCAAGCATTTGTGAGAATAAGAATACTGTCGCGGGTGTCTTTAAGAAGTCCATTTCTGTAGCATGCAATAATTGTTTCAGGTGGTGAAACCGTCCCCAAATTACACGGATCCCTGATGGCCAGGCAGCAGGAAATGGGCTTCTACGCGCACTTCGGGAATTACTGGAAAATATGTATTTGGACCCCCGTTGACTCTGATCCGCTGAGGTTCTCTGAAGAGAAGACAGAATGGCTCTAGTGGCGTCTCTGGGAGCGAGGGCCCGGTCTGATGTTGGTCCTTTACCACGTGTGGAGACCGGGGTGCCGTGCACTTCCCATGGCCACCCACTCAGCACCGCCTCAGCTGCACACACCACTGCAGAGGGCAGACGGGCCGTGGAGGATACCAGGGTATCTCACTGTTTCTAAGCTACCGTCCTCTAAAGGAAGCATGCCTAAAGTGAGCCCACATCCGCCTGTGCTTCAAGAATTCAAAGCCTAGGGAACCAGCAGTTAGCGCAATGGCTATGTCGCTGGACTCCCACGTAGTCGACCGCGGTTCACATCCCGGACCCGGTGGCTTAAAACTCACACTGGGCGCGTGTGCGTGCGTGCCCAAGATCCCGAGAGGAGAATGGAGGAGAAGGGATTGCAGCGTGACCATCCCCCCTGGGGGGTGATTTCTCGCTTTCTGTCTCTATGTCTCTGTCTGTCTGGCAAGCGCACGCGCCCTACAGTGAAAATCTCTCCAAAAAAAAGAATTCAAAGCCCAAATTCAGCCCAGCAGTAAACACCTGCACAAACAGGAGGTCGTGTCAGCGAGGTGTGACCGGCAGGAGGCCACTCCTAACGCCTCCGGGAGTCTCAGAGCACTCTCAGAGCAGACCCGGCGGGCACCTGCTCTCCCAGCTCGGTTCTCTCCCAGGGCTGCTTTCGAAGTATAAAGTGGCCTCCTTGGGCCGGGCAAGGGAGGGGAGAGAACAGGGCAGTCCCCGAGGTGGGGAAGCTGAATTGTGATGCAAGTACGGGAAGGCGGGAGAGCTCTCCGAGGAGGGGCCTCTCCTCCTCCTTCCTCCTTTCCTTTAGCACATTCTCCTTTAGCCTCTCGCACCTGATTAATCCAATTTCTCTGTTTTATTTCATCATTTTCTGCCTAATGACACCTTTCCCTGGGATGTTTAAAAACCTCGGGGCCTTCTGCAAAGTGCCGGCTTCCCTCTCCCTCCTCTGTTCTCTGAATGCCCTTAGCCCTCCGCTCTGCCCGTGACCTGATTACTCCTGCCTTTTCCCTGCCTGGCGGTCCAGTCTTCCCTCAGGTCTCTTTTTCCTCCGTTCCCATTAGTGTTTTTTCTCCGAGGCTTCACTATAAGGGGGTTGTGGACAGGGCTGTTCCAGGTCTTCACCTGCTGATGAAAGGCTGCCAGGTCCACGTGTCGAACCACGGTCAGGGGTGATTCCTCATTTTCTCTCTCTCCCTCTCTGTCTCTCTCTCCTTGGAGAGTGCACACACTCTTAGGCAAAAACCTCTCGAGAAGGAAAAGGCTACTTACATGGAGCACGTCAACATTCACCTGCTGGAAGTTCTGCGACCTCAATTCTTGCATCCGCTTGTTATTTTCTTCATATTTTTCTTCTACAATCTTTCTGTGTATTTAAAGTGAATAGAAAAGTAGATTTTAGCACGTTGTTAAAACGCCACTGTACTACACATCGAGGGGTCCGGCCTCGCTCAGCAGACAGCCCGGGGCAGCGGGCCTTCAGGTCTCCCTGGGCCGAGGTGCGAGCCACGCGGCTCCTGCTGGTTTTCCTTCCCAGCACACCGGCCTGGGTCCTCCATCACCCTCTGATGCTAAGCAGAGGCGGTAGAGAGCGAGCACTCCTCCCCTGGGTCCTCAGTGTGTAGGACGGGGTCTGTCCCGAGTGCGTGGTGCGGTCCTAACACAAACCAGCGTGAAAACTGCTCTCAGGATGAACAAACCCCGAAGAAAGTAGAGGCAGATCAAAGCACGCCCGGGAGGACTGAGCGGCACTGCGAGGGGCCGTGCTCTGTCCCGTTCTTCAGGAGAGCTCGGGGGGATGTGAGTTCCCCTGCACCCTGCGGGGCAGCGGTTAGGGCAGTGCCTCGGCAGTCGGACCTCACGTGGCAACTGCGGCTTGAACACACTAAGTGCACGTGCCACGTGTATGCCCAGATGCTGGCGGAGGGGAGAAAGGGAGGAAAAAGAACCTTCCTGGCAAGTGCATGTGCCTGGGAATTACAGGAGAAAAGTAACCAGTTACTGTGCTCTTTGCACTTCCTGAAACGTCACTGAAGATCCTCTAGTCAAATTCTGTCTATGAAACGGATACACAATAGCCCTTCTGACAATAGTCATTTTTTAAAACACAGGATCCCTCTAGAACCCTAGAAATGATGATTGGAAACAACTCCAATAAAACTCATTCAAAAATCAAGACCAAACTTTCTCTCTCTCTCTAAGAGAGAGGTTTTAGTTATAGGGTACACGCACTCGCCAGAGAGATAGACAGAAAATGAGAAATCACCCTCCAGGAAGGATGACCACACGGCAAACCCTTCTCCATCCCCTCTTGGGATCTTGGGCGCGCACACGCTCCTGGCCTGAGTTTTAAGCCTCCTTCAGAACTCAAACCACGGTCAGCTACGTGAGTCCAGGGACATGACCTGATGACATCTGCTGGTCCCCAGATGACTTTAAAACCACTGCCTGTCAGTAAGAGTACCAGCGTGTCTGTGGAAGGTCTGTAACCATCTTTTGCATATTAAAAACAGTTTTTATCTGAACAACAATTTATCATCTTCATGTAAATCACTCCATTTGCATTTTTTAATGTGCCCCTATCAAAGATTTAATTTTCTTTTTATTCTCAACCAATGACATGAATCATGATGGCATGGAAATACTGTCACTTCTGCAGTGTTAGTGACAGATTTGGGACTGTGGGTTGATGCAGTGGCTCGAGCAATTTATGTGAATGTATTTTCCTAGTAAGACCCGCAGTCAGTGTCAGGTGGTGTGCAAAGCCAGTGTGCACGGACTCACGAGGGCACTCAGTGTCAGGGGTCAGCAAAGCCAGTGTGCACGGGCTCACGAGGGCACTCAGTGTCAGGGGTCGGCAAAGCCAGTGTGCACGGGCTCACGAGGGCAGTGTCAGGTGGTGTGCAAAGCCAACGTGCACAGGTTCACGAGGGCAGTCAGTGTCAGGTGGTGTGCAAAGCCAACATGCATGGGCTCACGAGGGCAGTCTGTGCAGGCTTCTCCAAACCAAGCATCTTTCACGTTGGGCTGCTCGCATCTTAAAACTGGTTGTCGTGGGAGCATTTATGCCACAGAAATCAGAGAGCGAGCAGCCCTCTTTGCACCCAGAGCTGTGATCCGGATTTAGCAAGAGCTGGTGGTCCACGTTCATAGGCCCCGCTGACCGCGCTGTGACAGAAATCTCCCCACGGCTGTGGAAGAAAGCGTGTGTTAAGAGAGACGTCTCCCAGGTTCCTCGCAGGCGTGTGACGAGTTGGTCCTAGGTATGAGGGTGCATGTAAGTCACTTTCACATGTGTTAACACGGCCCAAATGAACACATTTCCA